ATCTTAGCTGTGGAGGGCAGTGTCACTGGCCCTCATATGTGGGATCCGAACCAGGGCCCTCTGGCATCCCAAGCGAGTTCTTAACCATCACGCCACTCGGCTGGCCCCCAAGCCAACTCTTAACCAATGAGCCACTCGGCCCGGCCAGGTCCAAAATTGTAATTATAAAGTCATTTACGACTCTATGTTCACTGTAATCTGTTTCCAATAATATATTCCAGTTATTTATTGCTGCATTACAAATACCCCAAAACTTAGTGGTCTAAAACAACAGTCATTTATTTTGCTCATGAATCTCCTATCTGAGCAGGACTTGTGGGGACAGCGTGTCTGCTCCACACAAAGTCAGTGGGGGTGTTTGTTGCGGGGCTAGGACGTTTACTTTCAAGATGGCTTATTCGTACGTCTGGCAAATTGGGGCTGACTGTCGACTGGAAATTCTGACCCGGTGAGGGGCCTTGGTTCCTCTGTGCATAAACCACGTGTTGGATTGCTTGGGCTTCCTTGCAGAGTACGGGCTGGGTTCAGGAGTGAGTGTCCCCATGGGGTGCTTGGTATTTGTATGACCTAGCCTTGGAAGTCACACGGTGTGACTTCTGCCGTACTCTGTTGTTCAGGATAGTCACAAAGGCCCGCTCGGGTTCAAGGGGAGGGGAGTGGATGCCACCTCGTAATAGGGCAGTGGCGTGATTCTAGAGGAGTGTATGGAACAGGGGATAGTGTTGCAGTCATCTTTGGAAAATAGAATTTGCTGTAAAAAGTACTGTTTTAAATAGTAAACCTTAAACAGCCATTAAAAGTTTGGTTTATAAAAAGTTTTAATGCACATGAAATCTTTATAGTACAATGTAAGTGAATAAAATGGAATACAAAATGGTATAAATGTGATTTCAACTATTAAAAATACATGTACATAGGGAAAAATTTAGAAAGTAATACAATGATTATTTCTAAGTGGGAGGTTTAGGCAGTGATTCTTTTTTTAATTTTTTTCCCTATTTTCCAAATTTTTCTACAATGGGTAATTATCGTTTACAGTGTGGCATAAAATGGTGATTTAATTAACAGATAGCCTTTCTCGTTAGCAAGAAGCAAAAGGCAAAGCATTTCATTTCACTTGTATCAGCCCAGCTGGCTTGCTGTTTGGAATTCACAGGTGCGGTGATTCAGCGGTGTGTTTAGTGATGGTCCTGAGACTGTTGCTCTGCTGCCATGATTTGGTTCATCTTATTTATTTTTATTTTCAGTCAGAACAAAGCATTTATTGTGGATCCAGTTTGCCCCTGTAAATTTCTTGATTTATTATTGTAAAAGGATTCTGGCAAGCATCATCTGTAGGTATTTCTGAGGCTACTCCACAGTCTTGACTGGAACCTCCCTCTCATTTCTTTCAAGCATTTTTATAATGCTTTAAAATAGTTCCTACGACGTCTCTGTTTCCGTCATGTACAGATTTTGTGTGCTTAGCTGACTTAGCGTACCACTTTTCTGTTCCAAGTCACTGAGCACAATGTCATCCAAAAGTCTTGTGATAAATATACACATATGTGTTTATCCCCCTCATGACAGATATTTTCATTGGGATCCGATGTGGCCTCGACCCTAGACCAGAAAGCTGTTTTTTAATTTACACAGGACTTCTTTCAGTCTTTATGTTATCCTTTGAATTTTGAATATTGTTTTTTCCATCAGATTCCAAAATTATATACACTTACAGACTTAAACTTTTTAATATGTAACAAAAAGTAGATGCAGAGACATTGAACGCTAAACCCATACATTATAGGCCTATTCTGTGGTTTTCAACTCCCCTCCCTCCATACTCGTCAAAAAAGAGGGGGTAGGATTAAAGTTCTTAGTCAGGGGTAGCAGATAGGTCTACCCAGTGACGCTGTAGGGATTTAAAATACTTGTAGTAATGTTAGAAATGGCTCCCCTGGTTCCAGGTCTTTGGAAGGCCCCAGCTGTTAGAGACTGGCTTAGAGACTCTTTTAAGATGTATAGGCTTGGACTCTGTTCTTGAATGCTTCTGGCTTCTTAAGGTCTGTTAAGGTTTGTTTATGACCATCCAACTAAGGGCCTGCTTATATTTTGAAAAGCAGTAACAGATGCTGCCTTTGCCACTTCTGATTTTAGGAATTTGGACATTGCCTGAGACATATCCCGAGAATTATTTCATTTTCAGAATCTGTTAATGCCAACTTCTATGTTAGAAGTCCCCTTTCTGTTCATCCCCTCCAGTGACAAGAAATGATGCAAAAACTGCCAAGTAATGTGCCTGTGGAAACAAATTACTTTGCTTTTCTCCTCCAGCCCTCACACACAGTTCCTATATATCATGATGTCTGTACCTGAGCTGTAAAATACAGTAGTCACTAGCCACATGTGGTTTTTTTAAATTTAATTAAAATTAAATAAAACTTAAAATTCAGTTCATCAGTGACATTTACCGCAGTTCAAGTCCTCAGTGATCAATGGCTGCCTCACTGAACAGGGAAGATATAGACTATTTCCAGCAAGTCCTATTGGACAGCACTGGCCTGTATAACCAGTATAAGTGATACCAAGGTAGACTGATAGGTGTGGCTCTGCACCCGGCACTTCCAGCGCCTTTCTCCACTCCTCTCTGCCTTCAGGGATCTCTTCAATGCTGCATTTGTGTCCTGCTGGTCTGAACTGAATGAAGACCAACAGGATGAACTCATCAGAAGCATCGAGTTGGCCCTCACCTCACAGGACATCGCTGAAGTCACACAAACCCTCTTGAACTTGGCTGAATTCATGGAACACAGTGACAAGGTGAGACTTTTCCCCATTGTCCAGATGGAGCCTAACAGAGAACCAGCTGGTGGGAGGGGAGAAGCACTCACGTGGCCCACCCTTGTTTGTGCCCCGTCTGCCATTTTTCTGTGGGGTTCTGCTCTCCTCCAGGGCCCCCTGCCACTGAGAGACGACAATGGCATTGTTTTGCTGGGTGAGAGGGCTGCTAAGTGCCGAGCATACGCCAAAGCGCTACACTACAAAGAACTGGAGTTCCAGAAAGGTCCCACCCCTGCCATCCTAGAGTCTCTCATCAGGTAGGCTGAAAACCCTTTTTAATTGCTGCCTTCATCTCAAATGACCTCTCTCGTCCCACTGTCGTTGCCGGTTCACTGGAGTCACTTGGAGATTTCTGCTCTGTGAAACCTGCCATTGGGCCTGGCCAACACATTTGAATGAGATGTGGTTATAGATGGCTCTCCCCAGTATTCTAGCCATAATTGTCCTTTCTGTTGACCCTTAGCACCTGGGATCCTGCTGTTTTCCAACCTGTGCTCGCATGCCCCAATGAAATCAGTCTAGAAGTTATTGTGTATTTCTGTTTCCATAGCAGCTTCGGAAAAATCGATTTTATGTCTGTCTGGGTTAGGTAGCCCTCTGTGGGGCATAAGGAGGAAGTACTGGTTCCTGTGCCTCAGAGGCTCCCCAAAAGCAGGGTGGGGGGTTATTGACTAAATATGGTGGTGCCGGAGTCTTCCTCCTCTGGAGTTCTATAAATATAAAAGGCAGAGCGAAGTCTGAGGTTTAGTGTTTTTTTTCCCCCTGATTCGGTTATGTTCTCTCCTCTCATAAGCTGGTGTTGAGTCTTCTGGGTATGGGGGAAATGGGTTGTTTAATAAGTTTTCTGCTGTTATGAAATTGCAGGCAGCCTGAAGTGTTAGCTCCAGCTCCTAGAGAACCGTTCACTTCCCCTAATGATTATCAGAGAATATTAACTCTGGGATCTAATTATCTTCATGTAAACGCTCACATAGTTGATTATTTCATTACAGATAGTTGAGGGGAAATCACCCAGCTAGTAAGCACCTCTGTTGTGGCTGATGCTTTCTTCATTTGGGAACATGATCAAATAGCCACATTCTTTGCTGGCTGTGCTTTTGAGTAGATGCTAAAAAGCATTCCTTTAGACACTTTAAAAAGTGACCTAAAAGATAGAAATAGAATCATGTTTTTGTCCGAATCACTTGGACTTTGAGAAAATGTTGATTTCCAAAATACCACAGGGGAACATCTATGAACATGCCATCCCTATGGGGTGGGCTGCAGTTTCAAATTAGGCATGGCAGATGTGAAAACTTGCTTTCTTCCTCCCATCTCGGGCTTAGGTGATGCAGTCTCACATGATAACTAACTAATAGAAAACCTGGTAACTAAAACCGCTCTCATCCTACTCCAGATGTTCCCCCATATCTGCGATAATCATAGAAGCATTAATGTTTATGCAGATTTTTAGTAGAAAGATACAGTCAGAGCCCTGGAAAAGTATTCAAGGTCATTTAAGTTGTTAAGCCAATATAATTGAAAATAAGTGCTCAGGATTCCTCGCAGATTAATGTTGGCTTTAAGAAAACAAACAAGCGAACCCCTCTGTTCCCAGGTAAAGCTGGTACTTGAAGCTCTGTGGTTCGTTCCTAGCCTGATTCCACAGAGCTTACAGCTTTGCCTCCTTTCGGTTGGTCTGTGGACCAGAAGGTCCACTCTTTTTTGTATCCATTTGTAGCTTTTCCTACTGGTTTTTTAAAACTGCTTTTTCTAAGCACCATTGCAATGTTCTGCCACCATTTTCACTGAAGAAAGTTTTAAGAAACAGCCTTAGGACAAGCTGCTATTGAGGAAGTTGCTCTCTGCACTCCCCCAGTCCTCTGGTGAGCCTCATGGAAACTCCTCCCAGCCGTCAGACCAGTGCTGGTTATACATCCCTAAGCCCCTGCTTTGGTCCAGTCTTGGGGACATTGCTCTGCAGTTAGATTGAATTCCCTTCCTCACGGTGGCTACTGGAGAGCTTGCAGCCCAATTCCTGGCCTACCTCTGAGAAATTACAGATGTCGTACCTGTTTTGTCTGCTGCCCTCCCTGCTTCCAGCTTTATTTTATTTTCCCACTTTAATTTTCTCTTCACCATTGTTCACTTTTTAAAAGCTCCTTCAAGTATATACATTGCAGTCAAGTGCCCTAAATCTTTTTTGAAACAATCAGGTTAACTGTACACAAAAGCACCTTTGCATAGCTGATTCTTAGTTTTTGTTGTTTTAAAAAGCTGTGCTGTGTTGACAACATTATTCTCTTGCTGCTGGCTTAATCTGTCTGTCTTCCTACCTAATGACACTTTTCCGTCTGCTCCTGGGCAAATGAAATCCACGTGGAATCCCCAAACCAGGGCTAACGTTGAGACAGTATAAACTATACCCATGTCCTCAAAGCTCATATAGATCAGTAAGTATATCTGCTTCTTAGGGGAACAGAGGAGTACATGGGTATTCAGTTACTTGGAAACACACAAACATGCACACACACATGGCTTTTCTTGGTTAGCCCATAGCATCAGGGTAAGGTCTGGTGGCCTGCTGACTCAGTCCCTTCAGATTGCTGTAACAAATTACCATAAGACTGGGTGGCTTAAACAACAAACATTTAGTTCTCACAGTTCTGGAAACTGGGAAGTCCAAGATCAGGGTGCCAGGTTGGTTGGGTTCTGATGAGACCACCTTTGGGGTTGCAGATTGCCAACTTCTCTCTGTTGGTTTACATGGTGGAAAGCAGAGAACAAACTCTTTGGAGTCCCTTTTATTAGAGCACTAATCGCATTCATGAGGTCTCCACCCTCATGGCCTAAACATCTCCCAAAGGCCCCGCCTCCTAACACCATCACATTGGGGTTTAGGCTTCAACATATGAATTGGGTGGGGGGGGCGGCACACACAGTCAGTCCTAGCACCTGCTTTTCTTTCTCCACTCTAATAGAGGAGAGGCTCTGATCAAAACTGGATGCTTTCACTACCCAGCCCCTGACATGTAAACTGGTTTTAAGAAAATTTTTTGATTGACACATCTGCAGAATTAAAAATAGAAGTAGGAGCCAGTGCTTACTAGGTGGACATGCAGCTCTAACAACTGCCCGTCAGGGATGTTTGTACCTTCTGGTCTCACATCTTGGAGGATGTGCTCAGAACAAAATGGTCTTTCTCCTCGGGAGGGACACTGAGCTCTCCTTTCGGCTCCTTGGGGTTCTGATCTCTCTCAGGTCAGAGACCATGCTGTGCTCATCTCTGAATCCATAGTGTCCACCCACCTGCACCAGTGAGGTGCTTTAAAAGTGTTACAGTCCGAGTCTGCACCCCGCAGGCCAAGTGGCTGGAGTGTTCTGTACGTTCTTTAGTAACTGCCCTTCCTTTTCCCTCCGCCTCGCTCCCAGAAGGGCGAAGGAACCACAGACACTGGCTTAACCTCAGTTTTTTGGTTTTGGTGGGGGTTTTTTTATAACTATTTTTTATTTTAACATTAAGCTTGTCACAAAAAAGTTATACTTCAAATTACTCAACTGTGTATGTACAAAAATATGAGTACATTTCAGCAACCATAGGTTTTAATTAGCACAGTATAGATTCTTCTCCCCCAGCGTTATTGAAAAATAATTGACAAATGTAACTGTATATATTTCAAGTGTACAACGTAAGGATGTGATACACATTATGGAATGATTACCAGAATCAAGACAGTTAGCACATCTGTCCCCTCCCAAAGCTAAGTCTTTTTTTGTTTGCGTGGTAAGAATGCTTAAAATCTATTCTCAGCAAAATTTCAAATATACAATATACAATACTATAGACACTATGCTGTATATTGTAATCTCAGAACTTATTCCTAATAACTGAAAGTTTGTACCCTTTGACCTTTATCTCTACATTTTCTCATCCCCCATGTCCTGCCTGGCAACCACCATTCTATTCTGTTTCTGTGAAGTCACCTTTTTTTTAGATTCCATGTAAGCAATACCATACAATATTTGTCTTTCTCTGTCTTATTTTACTTAGTATAATGCTCTTCAGATTCATCCTTGTTGTCCCAGATGACAGAATTTCCTCCTTTTTATGGCCGAATAATATTGCTCTGTGTGTGTGTGTGTGTGTGTGTGTGTGTGTGTGTGTGTGTGTGTGTGCGCGCGCATGCGCGTGCGCGTGTCCCCTTTATTCATCTGTTGAAGGACATATCTTGGCTATTGTAAATGATGCTGCAGTGAACATGGGAGTGTAGGTATCTCTTAAAGTCATTTCTTTTCCTTCAGGTACATATCTACAAGTGGAATTTCTGGATCATATGGTAGTTCTATTTTTAATTTCTTGAGGAACCTCCATACTGCTTTCCATAGTGGCTGCACCAGTTCACATTCCCACCAGCAGTGCACAAGGGCCCCCTTTTCTCCACAAAACCTTGTCAACACTTTCCTGTCTTTTTGATAATAGCTATCCTACCAGGTGTGAGATGTTAGGTGTTATCATTGTGGTTTTGAGTTGCATTTCTCTGATGACGAGTGATGTTGAATACCTTTTCATGTGCTTATTGGCCATTTGGATGTCTACTTTGGGAAAATGTCTATTCAGGTTCTTTGCCCTATTTTTAATTGGATTATTTGCTTTTTTTTTTGCCATTGAGTTGTGTGAGTTCTTTATACCCTTTGGATAGTAACCGCTTATTAGGGGTTAAGGTTTGCAAATATTTTCTCCCACTCTGTAGGTTGCCTTTTCAATTTATTGATCGTTTCCTTTGCTGTGCAGAAGCTTTCTAGTTTGAGGAGTCTCACTTGTTTATTTTAGCTTTTATTGCCTCAAGCCTCAGTTTTGTTTAGTTGTGAGGCGTATAGGAAATGAGAAAGAGAATTATTAGGTACTTCTGCCATAGACATCTTATGCCCTTCCTTCTCTTCATCTCCTTCTAGCTCGCTGATCTTTTTATCCTCCTTCCTAGCAGCATTGTGCTGGCTTCTGAGCATGTCAGATTCCTCTGTGTGCCTTAGGAAGTTTCTGTTAGAACACCTGTCCCATGGTAAGCCCTACTCCAGTGTAATTCTTCTGTACTCACTTGATTTCTTTGAAAATCCCCAAGGTTCTTGTTTTTAAGGTTAGGTAGGTTCCCAACAATCAAAGGACTGTCGATACAATAAAAATACTGGACAAGAATCACGGCTTACCTCACACTGACTGGCTCAGGGCGGGGATGGTTCTTTTTGGCAAGGAAAAACTACTTCCTAAAGGTCAAAATTATTTAACATCCATTACGGCAAAGGCTAGTTTGCCCAAGTAGAAGGTAAGAGTGTTGGTTTGTGAAGTATTTTGAAGCCAAGTGATGGCATTGGCCTCTGGGGGGGGCCACATGGGTAGACCAGATCTGACCTCCTCCAGGGGCTGCTGCCCTTTTAAAAGTCCCTCGCCTTTTCATTTTGGGCTTCCTGTTCCTCCCTTGGTTTCCCCAAAGACTGCAACAAACTCAGAGTCTCTTTCTCACCGTTTACCCTCTGATTTTTCACTTAAACTTTTTACCATGCTCTACGTGGTAATGGTGATCATTTAAAACCAAGCAAATTTTAAAAGTTTATTGTAGAAGGAAAAGAAATTTTGAATGTTTAAAACAGTCTGTAATATTTTATTTTTACACAGCAAAATGCTTACATACAGCATGAGTTATTAAGCATAGTGCCATCTACCTTTGTTTTTTTTAGGCAGTTTTTATAGACAAGGGAAAAGAGGAAGCCCTTTTCTTAAAAAGTGAATAAAGATAGATGTATCTGTGAACTGTGAATAGTTTAAGGCAACTTCGTGCACGCATCCACAAGGGGACTTAGCCCCACCTCCCACTGGAGCTCCCTGGCCACTGCTAGACCCATTTCCTACTCTCAGTGCTGTGCCCTGATTGAGGCCAAGCAGGGCAAGTGCTCAGAGGCCCAGTGCAAGGCCCAGTGCCCTCCAGTCAAGTCCAGCCTGGGTCAGCTCCCCTCCAGCAGAACAATTTTTGTCTTTAAAAAGAAAATGTGTTGGCTGAAGGTAGTTTCATTGGATTCAAAAGTAGAAGCTACTCTCTCCCCACCACCCTCTTCCATTCCTTTCTCTAACACCCAGGGCCTCTCCTTGAGAATCAAAATAATATGGTTCTTTTTAGCAAAGGGACTTTTTTCTACCCTCACATAACCTTAGGCCATACAGAAAAAGGAGGAAGTGATCTCACAGTTATTCTTTCATAGAAAAATCATGTGGTAAAGAAAAATTGTTGCTGTGTCAGGGATCACAGCAGATAAAGCCCACTCTGGCCAGCCCCCTGAGAAGTACGTGTCAGGACCCATCGTGTGTAAATATTAATACTTCAACCTGTTTACTGTAACATCCTTGGTACATACAGTTGTATTGTGCTCCTCAGAGACTTACTGTCTTATTGGAGATGATAGGCCATTTTCCATCCATACCCTTGCTGTCCTCGCTTCCTCTCCCCCACCCGCGCCCGCGCCCAGCCTCCGTTTGTCTCCATTTCTCCCGCTGTGCTCCACCGCAGGCCTCCTTTTAGGGTTGGAAGTCTTCCGGGCGGATTTTCATCTCCACTCGTTTCAGGGAGTAGGTGGACCCATGCCAGCCATACCAGGTGATGCCATCCAGGTGCCTGTTGTGCTCTCCAAGGCGGTAGAAGACCCCGTTGAGGTTGGAGTCTGTGCAGCAGTTGTACCAATACCCACCTGGCACAAGAAACAGACCCGTGCTGGTGAGCTGGGCTGTGCCCTTCCCCTGGAAGTGGCTGGTAGACTAGGCCACAGGGATTTTGTGAACTTGTTTTTTGAACAGTAGCTAAGCAATCAGAACCGATACAAAAAGGAAATGCCAAAGCCAGAATACTGGCCGTGCAGTTATAATTCATGCTTTCGCCTTGAGTGGGCTATGGCCTTACACCCGAACTTCCCGCCACCCCCAGATCTCACCTTTGCGGAGCTGTGCACACTTGTCTAAGCAGTTATCGTTGTCCTTGTCCTTGGTGCTGAAGGCTGTGTTGTTGTGATAGATGAGGGCGTCATTCCCCACGTTGCCACTGTAGTTGCCCAGGAAGAGGCGGTAGCTGTTCAGTTCGTTGCCCAGAACAAAGCGGCTGTACTCGGCGTAGCGTGTGCTGCCCTCCCAGTCCTGTCGGGGCCGAGGCAGAGCCTTAGAATAGCTGCAGCAGGGCGTCCTCTCATCCCCTCATCCCACCCCTGCCTCTTCTCTCTCCAGCACCTCTCGCCATACATCTTTTTACTGCCGGGAATCTAGTAAGGCTTTATTACTTGTTTACTTCTAAACCTGGGAATCAGAAAGCAAGGAGCCTAGACCAAACTTTGCTCCTTAGTCACCATGTGGCCTTGATTACCCCCTTTCTGTGTCCCTTCACTTGCCTGTCTGTAAGCTGTAGATGTGTGTTTCTGCAGTATCCCACTTAGAGATATCATAAGAGTAATTTAGTGATGCTTCAGGGCCCATGATAAGGGTCACCACCCAGTATCGGTAAGGTTTGCCGCAGGTCGCTGTCTTGGATTACTCTGCCCTGGCCTGAGACCAGCCTCTCCTTGTGCACCTGAAGCCTCACTTTTCAGAAAAGTAGGAAAGAACCTATTCTTCCTCAGCCATACTGCAGCCTGAAGAGAAACTGTCATAGTAAAGACACAAGCCTAAAGTGGATAAGAGCAGGAATGGTGCCCCCAGAGTTGTGTGCAGCTGTGCGTGGCGGCCTGCTCCAGTCCTGGTCCCAGGGGCCAGGCCCGTGCTCACCTCCAGCTCCACGCGGAGCCGGGTTGGCCGTCTGGAGAGCCGGTGGATGTGCTCATTTCCCAGCCAGAAGTCCCCGCGGATGCTGCCGAAGCCCCGCTTGTACAGCTTCCAGTCCCGGTGGAAGGAGACAAGGCCGCTCTTCCGTCTCTGAATGATGGTCCAGCCACCGCCTGCCGTCTCCATGTCACAGAACACCTGGAGCAGAGAGGATGCGCTGGTCAGGGACCCACAGAGGCAGGAGCATGGGGTGGACCTCCCCTCCCGCACCCCTCCCTGCAGAGCTAACGGATGGGTGCACTTGCACAGTCAACGATTCTTCCCCAGTGCGGGCGAGCGGGGGAAGAATCACCACAACCGAGGAAGGGGCCAAGGCAGTGCGCATCAGCCGGGAAGGGAAAACTCCGGGTGTTTCTGATCGGCTCCCGCCGTGGCCTCTCTTTTCTCCTCCCCCAAAGAGTCACTGCTCTGGGATGTGGCAAGAGATTTCAGCCGGTTCTAGAATGATCTGACCTCTGTTGGAAAGTTGGTGTTTGGGTGATGATGATTTGAAAGGGCAAAACAGATGCCTGGATTTTTTTCCCTGTAAATTGAGTGTTTGGACAGCTCCCTGGCATTTGGTGTGTTTGTTTCTCCATCTTAAGTTTCCCTGTCTTTAGACTCTGACTGTCCCCAGCCCTTTGAGGGTGTGGAAGACAGATGGTAGAACGTAGGCAGTGGGCGGTGATGACCTCACCTCCAGCTCAGGGCTGCCCAGGAAGTCATCAGGAGGAAGTTTGTACACTCCAGAGATGCGGTAGTTCTTCTGGTAGAGGGACGAGCAGTCGTAGATGGCATCTACAAAGGGGACAGACCACAGCGGTGAGCGTCCGAACCCGGGCTCCCGGGCACGCAGGCCTTCCTGCTGCATCGAAATTGAAAGTTTAAAAACTGAGACTTCATTTCTGCTACAAAATTCACCAGTGTTCATTACTAGGCAGCGTCTAAATGTGGGAGAGCTGGGCATTGGGATACCAAGAGGGGGTGCATTGTGGCTTCACTGGTGACGGGGAAGCCCTTGACCTAGAGAGCATCAACGCACGGGACAGTCAAACAGGTGGTTTCAGGTTTTTGCTGAAGTCATTTATCCTGCTAAAGCTCTAGGCCATGAATTCTGGAAATAGTATAGTGTGTGAGGGCCACATAACAGATGCTCTAATAGATTCAACTTAATGAGTTTCTCATAGGGTTGGTCTGGTTTTGTTGTTGTTTCTTGGTTTGTTTGTTTGGTTAGTTGGTTTTGTTGGTTTTCTGAGGTAATGGCTACTCCTAATTAAGGGAGAAAGATTTATAACCGTATCTTTACCCCCCTTAATCCACCCCTGCTAGGCAAATGAAAATGCACTCTGAGGAACCCTTGGAGGCCTTCCCCTGGCACGGTTATTAAAACAAGGAAATGAGAGCATTGGACAGGCTGGTTTTCACTCTGGGGTTGATTTAAATGTTTCCCCGGCTGCCCTAGGGCTCCTGCTGCATACCAGATTTTGTCCCCTTGTTCTAAACAGCAAAGACATTGAGGAAGGGACAGCCTTTCCTGAGAGGAGTCAGCAGGAGCTCTAGGTGTCCAGAAATACTTCTGCCCTCTGTCTTGGGAGTCTTTTCTTGTGGTCCCCGCACTGGGTGTTAGAGAAGAGCCCACAAATGGGCCGACGGTAACACTTCCATCGTGGGAACTGACAGAGGCCGATGGGGGAGGGGCCAGGCTTGTCTTTGCCATCAGCGATCTCACTTCCAATTACTGATGAAAGCATTGACTACTGCTTTCTCCAAGGGGCTACCTGTTCAGAGTATAAAGGTGACCCAGCACCTGGTACTTGAGAAGAAAAATAAGGAATGATGCCCTGGGCAAGACGAGGAAGAGGCCTGGCAGGAGAGCTGTGTTTGACCCCAAGAAACCCCCTGCTGGGAGGTGAGGAAACCCCTGTTTGCAGGAGCAGGAAGTGGCTGGGTCAGGTTCCTCTGTCTGGCCTGGTCTTCTGGGTGTCTGCTTTCATCTAACAGACCAAATCAGGATTCACTTGTCTGGAAAATGGCCTGAGAATCCCATTCTAGTCCCAAGCTGAGGGTCAGGAAGTACATGCTTAGAAAGTGATTTACACACCTTGGTTTAGATAGATTTATAATCTTATCTTTAAATACAAGAAAACAGAATTTTTAAGCTTCATTTCATATTACAACTTTTTCTTCATTTGAGCTGAGGGGAACCAGTGACTTACTCTGTTCGTTGTCGTTGACTTGGTTCACAGCGTGACCAAAAAAAGGTCTTATATCAGCAAGAAATGACATATCTATAGGATGTGCTTCTTACAGCTAATACTTCCCTGATATTTCGGAAAACCAAATTTCTCTCTAAACAATCAATTTACCTTGGCCCATCTGAGCCAAGCTACCCAGAAACTGAAAGTTATTTTGCAAGAGAAAACATTAAATGTGTCTTATTTTTGGCCTCCTAAGCATCTACATTTCAGCATTACATTTTCTCATGGAGAACTGTATTTGAGATGATGGGAAATAAATAGAAATATCGGAATTGAGGAGCCTTGAGGAACCTGTCCTTCCTAAACACAAAAGGAATTCTTCAAATGGCCCTGCGCAGTGTCTGTACATTCAATTCTGAGCTGGTGAGAGGAGCCAGGTTTGCAGAGAGGATACAAAATTCTGTGCCCACTCCACGAAACGTTAGACACACGAGAGAACTGTTTTTTGGCACTGTTGCTTCCAGAGCAACAGATGTTACAGTTTTTGTGTTCATTTCTGCTTCCTTGGGACTGAGTACCACTAGTCATCTCTGGGGGACCAATCTGGAAGACCTGAACCCTGTTTCTGAGACTTGCTGTGTGACGTTAGGCAAACCACGTCATCTCTCTGTGCTCCAAGATAGTCATTCATACCCTCAGAGTGCTGAAACATTGTGTAAGAGAGAGCTGGGAAGGTCCTGCTTAAATTTACAGAACATTGGACATCCAAAGAATTACTCCATAAGCCTTTACCAAAGAGAAAATAGAGCCGGTGGCACATACCCAAGAGAGTATGCCCCAGAAGAACCCCCAGTAATTGTTCTGACAACATGTTATCTAGAAGCAGTGCTAAGACGGGGACACTCGGCTGTTTGGGGGTCAGGTGGTGAGCAGCGTGAGGACACGTTCTCCTTACCTGCCGAGGTCTGCGTGACAGTCTGCGCGGCCTGCAGCTGCATGATGTCGATCTGGTTGTTCATTTCCGAGTACTTGCTCTCGGCATCCGTGAGCCGCGACTCCAAGCGCTTGGTGTTGCTCTCCAGCTCCATCACCTGCATGACCACGCTGACCCAGTCCCTCTCCTGCTTCTTGCTCAGCTCGCTCAGCAGACTGCTTAGGTTGGCTGTCTGGGCCTTGAGCTCCTTCACCTCCTCACAGCAGGCGGCCACTTTGACCTGCGCAGGTGTCTTGCGCTTAGGGGGCTTCTGTGGCCACACTGGGTGGCTGACAAAGGCCAAGACGACAATGCAGAGCCAGGTCACGGCTGAGAGAGGCTTTGCCAGCATCTTGCGTGGGCCTGTGTGAGGAGGGCTCTTCCTTTGGGGGCAGTCGGGATGTGCCCGGCTGTGGTCTGCAGCCCAGCTGTGGTCTACAAAGCTGCAACAGTTACAACCTCGCACGTGCTCACTTGGTTGTTTTCTCTCCTTGCTCTTTCTCAGAGCTTGAGTTTCTGAAAGTGCAGCTTCGTTGGGTATCCTATAGCTTTCCTTCCCCGAGCCTGAATGCCCTGCAAACTCAGCATCTTAAATATCGTTCTCTGCCTGCACCCCCACCCCGTGCGCATGGTGCTTTAGCCCCTCCCAGCTCATCTGGGAGGGTCAGGTGCCTGTTGGGTGAAGTCAGTGTAAAACTTGGGCCAGAGGAAGGGAGGGGGGAGACGGGCGAGTCTTTCTTTCCTTGCCTGCACAGTCTCTGGGCCGAGACGAGAGGACTGTGAATGTGTGTGTTTCCAGTTTCGCCTGTTAGATTATGCCCCTGCCAGCCACTGGCTCAGCTCTATCAGCAAGCAGGATAGGGTCAGAAGAATTTCCAAATTCCATTTCAGAGGTTATATAACCGTGGGGTGAGGGTAAGGTGGGCAGAGAGAGTTGGGAATGGGACTCCCCACTCACCCAGGGAGGCCTGTGAATGTAATGCACGCTGTTTATAGGAGGATCTGGTGGATTTTGGCATCCTGCTGACTGTGCTTTTAACAAGGCTGGCTATTCCTTTCTCTGATCATCATTCATTGTTTTACAAAACCCTCATTCAACCTCAATCTAACACGATCTCACATTTGAACATTTCCAGCTTAGAAAAGCTCTAGAAATAGAAGGATAGAGTAAGTCGTTTAGGAAGCAGAAGAAAACTTTGTAGTTTGTATCTACAGAATTTGCTCAGTTGGCTTTCTTTGTACAAACTTTTTCCTTCAACAGTGAGTGGGCCGGTAGTGGCTTCTCACACGTGACATTGAGCAAGGAGGTATTAGAGGTGCCATCAGGGATGAAAACACAGGAGTTCTGGACCTGGTTCTAGCTTGCTCACCCACATTTCCATTGGTCTCAGGCAGAACAGAGAACAGACCCATCCTTGGCCCATGGTTCAAAACTTGGAAAATATATTAAATTAGAGAAAAGAACCTCCATCTCCTAATACGTCCATATCTAGAGTCTCATTTCCCTCTTCCTATGCAGTATGGTTTGCAAATCTGAAATTATTTTCTGTCTATACTCGTGTATGATACATATCCCTGACAATAGGGGTATTGTAGTTTTTCATGTACTGTATTTGAAGGGCACGCCTCCTTTGAAAACAAATAGAGAAAGACCTGGGATTTCAGCAAACCTTAAATCCTTAAAATCAAGTTTTCACTAAGAATGTATACAAAGGTCCCTCTGTCCTTAAAAAGTAACTCTGCCTTTGGACTGTACTCTTGTGCTCTCCGTGTTATGGAGCCACTGAGGCAGTTCTTATCCTGTTGCTAGTCTGTGTGGGTCCTTCATACACAAGCCTGATGCCTCGCCACTCACCCTCCTTCCCTGCCACCGTCCCCCAGAGCCCTTTTCCAGTTGGGCTTCTGGCTTCTCAGAAAGCCGTTTCTGTCCAGGCAGCTGGAGTTACCAAACAGTTTTTTTCCCTCTAAATCAAAAAGCAGCAGTGGATCAGGTAGATCAGGGTTTGTTTTCTCACCTTGTCTCCTTTGCCCACTAAATGGTGAGGGTATTGCTGGCACCCAATAGCAACTTGTCATTCTGCTCAAAAGATTCTGTTTACAGTTGGCACTGTCAGCCAGTCCTTGCTCTCTTGTTGCAAATATCTCTCAAAGCTGGGCACTGCAGTCTCAGCTCCAGGGAGTTCATTTCACTAATGCGAACCTGGCCCCAACTGTCAGCATCCGACAGGGGTGGCTAAACTCCATGGGGAGCTTCAGGATGGCCTCCTAGCCATCAAGTGACCCTGGGTTTAAACCATGTGCCACGCAAGTGCTGTGTGCCACGCGGTCGTTTATAGCATCACATGTGGCCGTGCTGTCTTGGAGCTCCTGTGTGGCAACGAGGTAGAGACAGCCCCACGGAACAATGGAGCTTTATGGATTCACAGCCAGCTTTTTGTTTGTTCTGCTAGTAGCCTCCTCTCCCACCTAAACAGGAAAACGTTACAAATAGATTTTCTTATCTGGGCAGAAATGATTCATTCGTTCATATTTGCAACCCATGTAGCAGTCCTTTCTACGAAAAGCGGAGGGGGTGGGGGCTATAAGTTTGGATCACAAGCATCTAGCTTTTATTTATCTATCTATTTATTTATTTTAAGATTTTATTGGGGAATTGGGGGAGGGGAACAGCCAAGTTGTTGTCCTTCAATCTTAGTTGTGGAGGTCGCAGCTAGCTCAGCTCCAAGTCCAGTCACCATCCTGCCGCCCAGCAGCAGCTCGCGGCCGCTCAGCTGAAGGTGCCGTGTTCAATCTAGCTGCGGGTGGGCGTAGCCCACCATCCCCTGCTGGAGTTGAACCAGCAGCCTTGTTGTTAGGAGCACGAGCTCTCACCAGCTGAGCCATCCTGCCACCTGTTGGCAGCTCAGCGGCAGCTCAGCTCAGGCACAACTCACTGGCCCATGTGGGAATCGAACCGGCAACCCTGTTGCTCAGAGCTCACGCTCTCAACCAACTGAGCCACTCGGCTGGCCCACGTATCTAGCTTTTAGCATGAGGACTTACTCTCTGACATTTATTTTCTGGAAATTTTTTTTCTAACATAAGATGTAAGTTGGAGACAAACTTTTCTTATTTGAAGATTTTCTTAAATTGCCTAAGCTGCCCAAATGTCAATAACCCCCCCCCCAAATTTTGAATAAAATAACCAAGTGTATTTCCCATGCCAGGAAATTATCTATCCTTCAAAATATCCACAACCCTTTGATGTCCTAGATTCTGCCTTTCTAATAGCAGGAAAAGTAAGCCTAGAGAGAAAACCAGGGAGAGTCTGGGGGTCCAGAGTGGGTTTCCCTTCTCTGCGAGGCTGTCAGTCCCTTCTCTAACCTTCAGGGAACAAAGTGACCATAAAAATGGGAAATAACTCACAAAATACAGTGAACCTCAGAAAATACAGTGAACCTGGGTTGGATACCGCGCAGTTTTTCCTTTTCTCCATTTTGCTCGTGGCAAAAGAAGGTTAGCTTGGTGCTCCTGGGAAAGATGTTTTTGAAAATAAAGCTCATATTCTCAGTGAGAAAAGCCAGTGAGCTTTTACGTAGCCTGGAAATTCTCAAAGACTTCACAGTCTGCACGGCCTTGGGCTGGCACCAAGAAGTGGCAGCATTCAAGCAGCCTGGGGATGGCAGCGCTAGGAAGGGTCCGGAGGTGGTCTCTTCTACCTAGATGGGAGTGTCATGTCTCATTTTCTTGAAAACGTCCCCATTTGGGAGGCTTCTTTTCTAATGTATTCCCATCCCTGCCTATCCCAAAACCATTGCCTTTGGAATCGGTGAGGGAGAGAAACAGCTCCCCTCAGAACTAGAGTCCCATTTTGTCGAATGGATACATCTTAGAAGAACCTGCCTCGTTGTTAGTTTGTGTGGAATATTTTACATCTTCTGAAGTCTTTTAATGAGCCACGGCTTGCCTTGCTATATGTAACCATTTAATACCTGACCCTTCTGTCACTCAGCCCAATTTCTATCTCAACTGAAAGCCCAAGTCCATCACAGAAGCTATTTCCATCTCTTCCTTAAGTCTTCTAATTTGCCACTTCTGCCGAAGAGTGCATCTTGGATGTATTAGAAATCATTTCTCTTAGGCCTCCTCTTAGAGTCTTTTATTTAATTATGGCACCTCGCAGTGTATAAAGTGTATTTCAGATCTCTCTCAGGACTTTGTAGCAAACATCTGTTCTGTTAGCCAGCATGCAAATTGAACACAGTGACAGTGCCAGCCCAGCCTTAAGTGCCTCGCAGTCTCGTTGAAGAGACAGCCAGCCAAACTCTAGGACAGTGTAACATGCTAGGGAGTAGGGGACATAAAGGAGGAGGAGTGCCCAGCCCCGATGAGATTCCGGAAGTGATACCCAGGTTTTAAAGTAAAAGGAGGAAGTGGCCAGGAGTGGGAGAGGGTGTTGTGAGCAAAGTTGCAGCTGTGTGAAAGATCCTGGCTCACTGGGAGAACGGAAGTAGCTGAGAATGAGTTAAGAGTCAAGAAGGTAGGGGATCTGGGGTAGTTGAAGCCCGAGGTGGAGGGGAACCAGGCCTGAGGGACCTTGGGAGTCCATGGAAGGGGTGTGGTTGTTATTCTGGACACGGGCAGTGGAAGAAATCCAAGGAACTTTTACCTCTCGTTGCTTTGTTTTCCTGAATCTTACCAGGAAAGTGGCTTTTGCTAGCTGCCAAACAAGATTTTTAACTGGAAATGGGTGGCTTAGAACATTAGAATTTCTTAAAATGGTAATTCGTCCGTATTAAATGCCCTGAAGGGGTCATCTGGCTTGAGGATTAAGGACTTTAAAAACTTGGGTCTAGAATCAAACAAATCTGCGTTCTCATCCCTTCCCATCACTTGATGGTTATATGACCCTGGGCAAATTAAATTACTTAGCTTCTCTGAATTTACCAATTTGTGAAATGGAGATAAAGATCATAACCACTTTGTCTCACAGGATTTTTTGTGAGGATTACATTAAATAAAGCAAAGGATTAAAAATAGCTAAGACATTTTGAATAAGAAAAATAAATTTGGAGGAATTACACTACTAGAAATCAAGATTTATCATAAAGCTACAGTAAGTAATTAAGGCAGTAGAGTATTGCCACAAGGATAGACAAATAGGTACGCGTAAATGGAAGAGAAGTAAATGTCCAGAAACAGACATACACACATATATGGACACTTGATTTATAACAATGTCACACTACAAAACAGTGAAGAATGGACAGTCTTATAATAAGATCTGCTGGGTCAGCTAGATAGCTGTATTGGGGGTGAAGGGGTGAAGCGGGGGGCAAGGGGAGGCTCTTCACCCTTCCTTACTCTGCACACAAAACTTCAAGTCAGGAAGAGATTTAAATTCCAAATGTGAAAGGTAAAACTAAAGCTTCTAGAATATAGCTTTGGAGATTGTCTTCAGCATCTTGGGATAAGCAGAGATTTCTTAAGGTACGCAAAACACTAATCATAAAGGAAAACATGCAATAAAAGCAGACATTTCTGTGTGTTAGAAGACACCATGAAGAGAGTGAAGAGGCAAGAGGGTATCTCCAAAACATACTTCTGTGTTTACTGTAGTCAGAGAATATATAGAACTCATCAAACAATTTTGTTTTTAAAGATTTTATTGGGGATTTGGGGAAGGGGAACAGCCAAGTTGTTGTCCTCCAATCTTAGTTGTGGAGGGCGCAACTAGCTCAGCTCCAAGTCCAATCGCCATCCGACCACCCGTCGGCAGCTCGCGGCCACTCAGCTCAAGGTGCTGTGTTCAATCTTAGTTGTGGGTGGGCACAGCCCACCATCCCATGCGGGAGTCAGACCGGCAACTTTGTTGTTAGGAGCATGTGCTCTCACCAGCTGAGCCATCCTGCCACCTGTTGGCAGCTCAGCTCAGGTGCAACTCACTGACCCATGTGTGAATTGAA